CCTTCGGCTCGCTGACACCGTGACGCCTATTAGTGTATTTTGTCCTTGAGGATTAACCGAAGTCGGACAAAGCTCAGGTGCAAGCACTTCGCGCCGTGGCTAATAACTTGAAACGGCTGACGCGTCTCTGATGTGAACACTTGTCGTCAGTGCCTGCAGAACCGCGTCCACACTCTCCCTCTCAAGCATTCAGCGTTGTTTAATAACTGTGTCCTCTCCGACCTTCGATTCGGGGAATCGCGAGTTATCGACCATCGCACGTTGACAAGCCCTCTGCCCATCACGTTTCCTGGTCGGATGCATAACGCGCACTGTGTGAGGAGCACCCCCACGTTTTATGTCTAGAGAGTGGTAGTCGAAAATCGTACGGTGACTCACTTAATTCTTGGTGCATTAACGTCGCCCATTATCATAACGTTAGGCATGAGAGAGAAGAGGGAGTCAGTGTTTGAGTCTATCCTCGGTGGTTGATAAACAGTATCCAGACTGCGAGTTACTGGCCGCGTTGGTCAACCAAATAGCTCTCATGTTGCAGGCAAACCGGGCAGTCTTTTCCGATACGTTCAGAAATGCTTCACCACGCATGATTTTGCCCCCACACAGATGACCTTCTCTGTTCGTCGTAAATAATTGCTTTCCAGGCAAAGATATTCCATCCTCATCTTTCTTTATGCACAGCCAGGTTTCGATTGATATTATCATGTTTGGTGACAGGTCGCCAAAACAAATTCTTAGTTCATCGAGTTGGTTAGCAGGGTAGTGTTATGTGCCCGATCGGCATTACACAGACGGCCCAGAGAATGGAAGACTAGTAGCTGGGTTTTATGAACTAGGAGACTATGTACAAGAAGAAGCTCGGGAAGAAACCTAATTACAAAAATATAGTGGGACCGGGAGATTGTCCACGGGAAGCGACGGAGAGCGCAGGGATTCATCGGAGACGGTGACGGTGGTCCGTCTTCCGAGGAGCTGCGGTTTGCCATGGGGTCGTCGGAGGTTAATCCTTGCCCGCATTTATAGCCTTTCAAGAGTCAACGTTGAGTCCACCATTGTGATTGGTTGGGGGTAGTTTGATGACGAAAAGTTAAACAAACTTGAAATAAGAATATTCTCAGTAATTTATGGTTATATTAATTTATTATATGTAAATCTTTACAAGAAGCTAAATTAAAACTAGATTTGTGACGCACAAATACCGTAAAATTCCGCGCGTGCCTTCTAGAACATTCAACAACAAGGCAGCGCATAGGCTATCTTTCTAGAACTTCCTCAGTATGAGCATTTATTTGCAGGATCCCTAAGTTCACACTGCCAACGGCTACGGTTGGGATAGTCGCAGTACTATACTTTGAGGCGCCTCATCAAATCCCATTCTTAGGATCTATTCAGTTGTACAATAGGTTTTATCACTTCTAATTTATGCGGGCAAGACAATCAACATTACTCTCCCGCACCGGATGTTGTCAACACGACAGGATCCACGGGGTTTCTCTTACTTTTTCTGAATTTTTTCCATAGAAATGTCGTATTCCTCCGAACGAATTGCCCGTGATGTTGTCCACAATGCTTTTGCCCCTCTTCCTCCGCGATTTTAATTCTAGGAAGAGTACCCGGCATTTAAACTGTTCCACTCGGGGGGACGGGCAGTCCTGATGAACCCCCCCCCCCTAAGGTTGGCATTGTAATAGAAGATGAACTCAATCAGCTCCCTGCAGTGCTCACTCATTTTCACTCTCTTTTCCACTATTTTCCTTACACTCACGGGTGGAGAGTTGGCTTAGGAGTCTATGAAAAATTGAGGTTGTAACAGCCAGACAGACACAAAACACCCGTATTTAAGTCAGCAAGTTACCATACTTTCGGAGAAAACTCGGGACCCTGTAACTTGACTTACTCGGCCAATTCCAGGGAACAACCTAGCACGGTAAATATTTCTTCGCTCTGTCCCATTCCGCTCTTTACGGATACATTGAACATTTTGTCCCTTTTTTCCCTTGACATGTTATTCACTCGTTCACGATTTATCATTTTGTATGTTGTCCGCTGCATTTATCACTTTTCTCGATCACGAATTATCTTTCTGTTTGCAACAGTTACATCTAACGTTTTCTGCACCTTTTTTAAATAAACGACGACATAAGGTTGATACAGCTCAGCTGAAACCGGCGGGAAAATTTGACCATGCTGACGTCACCCACTCTGGTCGGGAAGGGATCGGTTACCTCTTAAGTGGACAACAGCTTTCTACCAAGTGCTGCATTACGTTCTTGAAGAGGAGCCAGTAGCTTTCTGGGTCAGGTCCTTGTGCTGAGTAAGAAATAAGAAGGAAACTACAGATGGTTCAATGTAGGGAAAATCCACAAGGGAAGGCGTAAATGGAATAAAATTCACATTCAAATATGGGACGTATAAACTATATTCACTATAACAGAAAAAAGAAATAAAGCCTGCGTTAACGTCAGAAGTAGCCAATAACGTAGATTATATTGCTCTCATGAGGTAACGAACTGGATCTTACGTACCTTACGTAAGAAGAGCAGTAGGGAAACCCGATAGGTGAATAAAGTAAGTATTTACAATGTCAAACGATCTGGTTGGGGAGCATGTTGGCGAAACGGGGTTGACATGCCGTATTGTCTCCGTCAAATTAAAAAAGCAGTGCAGTAAAAGAAACGTGACGAGATTTCCAAAGGCCACTTAATCTATCAACTCACCACAGTTCCTCCGCCTAGTAAATTCAAACAACTGATGTCCCACACTTTTGATTCGACTCTTGGGCTCTATTCTCATTCTGAGCCCGCTTTATGTTCACTAAATCGCGTTCCTGTGAACTCCTGTGAATAAGATTTTTTGGACGTCTTTGTAGGTTTGATCGTAAAGTGCCATATGCCTCTTTTTGCAGACCAAGAGGTCCCTTCCAAAGACACACCAGAAGTATTGACCATGGTTGCACTCGTCGCTTGATCATGTCCAAATTTCTGACCACCTTACTTGGAGATCTCAAACTGAAACGTCATATTTTCTAGTGTAGGTTCCAACCCCTCGATCACACAGAGGCCCCTGACCTTGTATCCACGAGTATACTGTCCTTTCTGAACTTACGCTCAGCAATTTCCGCCTCTATCCTATCACCACCGATAGCATCCTCGCGAAAATAGTTTAGAACTAAACACACAATTGCGGGAATACATCCTGGCAAGTTTCCGCACTACTAACGATAGAATTCAACCAGTCGGATTTTTATGTGTGAAAAGCCTCCGGTCTTAAAAACCTTACTTATATAACAGTTTGCGATTCTTAACATGAAGGGAATTTTGATTAGCTGGGTTTAAACTGTCGCTTTTCTGGAACAGGTCCAGTAGTAAAATATAGTTGTTTTTCATTTCACATCAGTGCTTTACGTCATTTTGCGTCTGTAATTTCATTTTCCGGAATTTCCCTATGTGCTGGGGACGGTTTAAATTGTCACACTTATGAAATTCGGCTGCTGCTCGCTGCTGATCTGTCTGACATTATTTACTGCTGTTTCGTTTATAGAATAGTTTTAGGCTCCCGAGGTTTGCCAATGGATCTTTATACAAGGTTGATTGTATACAAAAGGTCGCCATTTAAAGGTAAACTTGAGTTTTATGACCAGTTTTTTCTTTTCGTGTTATAAACATAATTTCTCAGATCTCAGCATAAGCACTTTTGTCTTCATTTGAGCACCGGTCCTCGCAGTCACTTACTCTAGAGTAAACCCTTGAATATCGGATCAATCAGATTATGAACACAGACTTTCCAATATAGGATCTAAAAGATTGAGTAATTAACACCTAGACAGGTCGCGTTTTTGTTTCAATGAGCACGTCATTAAGGCGGGTAGTTTGTTATTGCGAAGTTTGCTAGGGCTGTTGCTCGTACACTCTTTAAACTCTCCTTCGCAGGCCACGGATAGATGTACGGACGTGACAAACAGACAAATGAGGCCGTAACTTCAAAATAACCAAATAGTTAATTGCTTAGTTAATTATTCTGTTATTTGGCACGGCGACGCGATATGCCCGACCGAGAATTTTTGTCACTATTGTCCCTCCCCACTAGCGGATTTTGACTGAAAATCAGTACGAATAGTCAAGGAAATAAGACTTTATTAGGTTATCGTGATTTACGTAGACTTTCGCCAAATTATCTTCTGTTTCGTTGACCGTATACCAGAAAAGCGACTGCATGCAATCATGCATGCTTGTCCGCGGTTTCCCAACATCTGAAAAGTTTTCGGCTGGGTAGTAGATTGAATTCTATCAAGGTTTCTTGAGACAAAAACAACTTGAAATTTCGATTTTGATAGAGGATTTGCACTTGACGCGGGGCTTTTAAGTAGACCGGATCGTCCAATTATTCTGAATTTCCCGAATTTTTCCACATATTTGTGCTCTTGTACAGGGGGCATAATTCAGAAGCTTGCGAACGCAAGTTAGCAATCAATATCATCCTCCTAACTTGCAGACTGTTCTATTTGATCTGGGTCAGGCTTTACTACGTTCTACTCTGGGATTGAGAGGTTCATGGGCGATAGCTCGCACATGCTTTATTCGCCCTCCTGCTACTGCCATGTTTTTTTCCCGCGCAACCTGGTGCAAGTGCTTCCAAGTCAAGTTTCATGTCGCTAACCAGCAGGCCCTGGACTTGTTCTGGTTTTCCTGTCCGTCGACTCTTTAGGAAATAGTAAAACTGCTCAGCGTTATCCTGCTGCAGCTTGCTGTCACGGTTGTCCAAGTTTGTTTTAATCTGCTCTAGCAGGTTCTTATCGATAAGACCTTTCCGGGCGAAGTATCTAATTTTAATGCTTCCATATGGCCGGCTATCTTTCTAAAGGCACATCTTTATTTCAACATCCTTCCGAGCTGGCGTATCTGTTTTTTTCGTTTTGTTTCTTGCAGACCTTTCCATCACCAGTTTTTTGCGTTAAATATTAATCTCACACAAGGTATTGTATTGCTTGTAGAGCACTGACTCAGATGCCTCGCCCACGTCTGACCGATGATGATGGTGACGAGAGTTTGCTTCTAATACCCCCATCAAGGATGCGAAATATGATGAAAAGTTCTCCTGATGTTGATTGTGTTAGCGCGGAGTCTGTTATTTGCTTGATCAAGGCTACGGTAACTTGAATAATAATATGCGCTAATTGGTGTTTTCACCCAATAGGAGATGTTCATCAAGGAAATTATAACCCTTTCATACTCAAAAGCGTCAGGCGAACTCACATACGAAAATTTATCCAAGACTCAATCACAGTTGTCGCGATATTCCTTCTTGTCGGACATACTTCCTCCTAAGATTACTTTTAAGGAGTGGACGGAGAAATACAAGCATCTTTATGAACAGTCTTATGCGATTTCTTTTCTGACTTCAAAGATTATGAAAGGGTTCAGTTTTTGTGTTGAGCATCCGCCGCCGCTCCTGCCCTCGTTTCAACTACTAAATTCTATTGTGTTTCGTAATTTGCACCCTTAAGTTCCTAAGTGTTCGGAATCTTCTGCGTAAGAAGTGTTAAATTATCTGTGCTGCCATTAAGAATATTAACCCGACTAGTCTTACACCCACGAGTCGGAATGCAGGTCGTTGGGTCTGAGCGCGCCTTACAAACTTACATTCTTTAGTCAGTGATCAGCTCATCAGACCAAGATTTTTGTGAAACTGTTTTTGTTGAGGTAATCGCTCTCCTGACTGATCTACTAGATAATATGGTAGTATAGAGTCGGAATATCCTAATCGCAGGACGGAATGCAGTCATCTCGTTTTGCCTGTACTTCGTTTGAGAATGACGGTGCACTGTTCCGCCCTCGTGTGGCTGGGTTACTTATCCTCCCATATCTCCCATGTGGATCCTGACCGTGATTATTTCAACATGTTCTTCACGGACTGCGCATGTCTCTGGTCACCGGCGCCTCATATTACTGAGCACGCTTGTCGGTCTGCTTTGATCGGGAAGCTGGCCACCTTTTGACAACCTGGAGACCAATGTCCCCGCCATATCCAGGGCTCTGGAGGGCACTGACGTTTTCATCAGTCTGGTCGACACTAGAAAAGCATGTAGGGGCCTTTGTGTGAATACCTAGTCTGCGCATCCACGTTCAGCATGAAATCCGGCTTGTTTGGGCGTCGTCCCAGAGTCCCATAAGCGTTACCAGTCTCGGCACCACGCATAGATCTGTTATTCTGAGCCCAGCTGCGGAACCTTGAGCTGACTAGTATGTAATCAATCTGACTGGCCGTATGACCGTCGTTTGAATATCGGGTCAGCAGATGTTTCTTGTGATGCTGGGAACACGTGTTTGTGACAAGCAGTCGGTTCTGATCAGTGAAGTTTAGCAATCTCTCGCCACTTTCACGTCGGAGACCAAGCCCAACGCGGTCAAGATGACTGTTTGTTGAGTCGCCAGGTTCAGTCCGGCCGTTCCAATCCTCGGCAACAATCAGCAGATCACAGTGAGGGCGTCGCTCAACTAACGCCTACAACTGCGAGTAAAACGCCTCCTTATCGCGCTGTTCGACAGCCGACGTTGGTGCGCACACAGAGACGATTGAGATGTTAGTGAAGTGACCCTTCAGTCGCACGTAGGCCACCCGGTCATTGACTGGTTTCCAAGCAAGTAGCGCGAGGTCCGCTTGTTGCGATAGGGTGATCGTCCCACCGTGTCAACCAGAAGAGTCGCGCTGGCCGCCGTGGTACAGGGTAAAGTGAGTAATAGCAACGACAAAGCCTCGTTCGGAGTTGTGAGTGTACAAACGGCTTGGTTGGGCATCGTCCCAGAGTCATGCACAGCCTGGAACCGCCAAGACCTTCGCAGCAACGTCGATGAGGCTTATGCCGCGATAGTTCTCGCATCTTGTCTCATCTCCCTTTCTTAGAATAAGTACAAGGATGCTCGAGCCCCAGTCATCAGAAGAAACCTGCTCTTCACCCAGGGTGAAGTGCGAGTCAACTCATTGGAGCATTATTTCCCGAGAGGCTGAGTCAGGAGGTCGGACTTCAGACAGGCTGCAGACATCTGCGCGCGGTCAGACTTTGCATACCGGGGTACAGGAATGTTCGCACGTTCCAGCATCCAATACAAAGAGTCCGTCCCCGATTGAGTGGTCCAGCTCGCATATTATTCGCCCGCACCAAGGTTGAAGAGCGCGTCGGTTCCCGCGGACGCCGTAGCATGGGTCGTAATACTGTAGTCGGACATATTTCATGAGGTTTTTGGGAATTTCCAATACAGGCGGGTCCCTAACAGCTGCTTGGATTGTTTGTTCGAGGTTGTCTCCTCTAGCGCATTGGCTTGAAAGCCTAGCCACAAGGCAGCGGTAGCAAGCAAACTTATTTGATGGCGGTTTACGGTCGCCATGTCACAATGCCGTCATCGGGCTTTACGGCTTTCTTATAAGACTTTCAGTTTGTCAGACCTCGGCCCTCCTCACCCCGGTAACACTATCGCTGCTGGTCCGCGACTGCTTATTCATCGGACCTGGGTCTCCTTATTTCGCGGCTAACCTTAACTGAAGGCCGTTCCAGTATCCACCATCTGTGGACGCGCCGGGTAGCCAGCAGCTAGGCTAACGGGCAGCCCGTCTTCCCGTTAATGTCATTCCTATCGGCGGGATGACTGGAGACGTGAAACGATTACTGGAGTCAACGGACATCTCCGATGAAACCGTAACCCAAACTAACGGATGATATTTTGAGTGTATTAGAAACTGTTCGCCTGCCGGCAAAGGGGTCTGTTTACCTAACCTTGCGACTTTAGTTGTCAGACCAGTAGTGAGAGAAAATGGAGACAGATAAGACAGCGAGCACATTTGATGCGGGAACTCCAGTAGTGGGACAAGGGATTCGTCCGCCTGTCTAATTGCTGCCAACCCGGCGCGCCCACTAGACGGCGAATTTTGTTTGCTGTCGTTACTTTACCGGCTAGAGCCTAAGCCACAGGCTTAGCGAGACGAGATCTAAACCCTCACCAGTACTCCCAACTTACACCGTGGACTATTGATCCGGCTAGGCTAGTATTGGTCCTAGCCGAAACAACTCTGACCTGATGACAGCAGACATCTTGAACACAAATTGCCATTAAATGAATTCGGCTGCCAGCACTAGATTGCGATTAAATACAACTCAGAGGATAGACGAGAAAACACTGCTGGGGGTTTTCACGAACCCACATACGCCCCGAATTTCCAAAAAAACTGTGTCCAAAAACCCCAGCAAGTCTTATTACGTGATTTTGCCCATCGGAAACGACGAGGACTAACGCTGTTCCGTAACTGGTGCAGTGCTGACTTGCTTGTTCAGTCAAGCGTACTTTCGCAAGACCTGCTTCACTCTCCCCGAGTTCAAGTGACAGGGCAAACTTAAGACGATCAGAGATAGGCGTAGACGCACTGAATGATGAAACTAAACGGCCCGTCTACGCATGCCACACACAACCTTGCCCCTAACATCGCTGTAATTAGGGTGGCCTGGGTCTCACGCAGGTGATTTGCATTGGTCGTGTTGAGGAGGTACTGCAGTCTTATCCGTAGACCTGAGCGGAACTGAATTATCCCATCAACTGTCAACCTTCCGAGCAACGAAATTCGGCACACCGTGACAGTCCAAAGGCGTGAGCCATTAAGGTCAGAGATGCGCTGATTTTCCTCCTCGGAAGCGGTATCGTCCCCCCTATTCCAAGCGCCAGCGGACTGTCTAAGCCTGTCGGCCGACCAGTAATGTTACTGGGACGGAACGGAGGACGGCGCTAGTGGCACGAGAACTGGCGCGCTACAAGGTGGACATCGCCGCACTCAGCGAGACCCGATTCTCCGAACAAG